TTAGGTAGTGGATTGTAGAACTTCTTTATGTGAGTTTGGGGGTAATAGAGTGCCCCAGAGTGTGCCTGCTAAGGAATAGATACTTAAGTAATTAGCATTTTCTTTTATTCTTTTTCTAAGAATTAAAAAAAACTCTCCTAGAGTTGTTAAAAAGAGCCCATTAACTTTATTAATTTATCATAGAACTTACTATCCAGGCTACTTTTGTCATAAAATCTAAAATTGATAAAATATTCAATCACAATTGAGCAATTATTCTTTATAGGGATTATAATTCTACTAGTTTCTAAATATTTCACTGGAAAATGTTTTAAAACAAAAAGTTTATACATGTACCCACAAAGAAGAAAACAGCACAAGGTTTAATATTATATGCATCTCTTTTATAAAAAATTTAAAAAATACATATGTTCTAGGACAATCGGCATTTTCTTCCTAATGTGACCAAGTTTGTAACTTAACAAACATAGGCTATCAAAGAAATTTTAAAATATTATTTGTAGTTTCAATAATAAAATACTTCCATGTGGTTTACTTGTATCAGTAAAATGAGAATGAAATTGTTAATATGCAATTCCATTATAATCTTCTTTCAGTTTAGCCATATGTATCATATCATATCATATTTATCAAATCATATCATATTTCAGTAAAAAGTATATCAGAACACTATGTGAACATGTTTATAAGTAGCATTAAGTATATCTGAATTAAATTCTTATGTTTCCATCTCCTGTTATACTTATGTGAAACTAGGGTATTCATAATAATATATAATTTATGTTGATAGGGTATAATATAAATGGTTCACCTCCAACAAGAATAGCTTCAATAATTATAAACATAATACTTCTTAATTTCACCATGCACACACCATGTAATGGATAAATTATACTGCTTCAGGTTTTAAATAGTCCTCAATGATTGAAGGATGCCACTGGAATAAAAATGTGGGCCATAGAAATATAATAAGAAGTATCATTTTCAAGTTTCAGTGTACAAGACAAAACAACACACATGTGGACCAGTGGAATGATTTGGCAAAATTACCTGGTAGTCATGCATCCTAGGGGGTCAGAACTAGATCTGTTTAAAGGCCTGAATTTATATCTTAATTATTCAATAAAGTATAAAACTTATAACTGACAATACTATACACAAAACTCTGAAAGTAATGCTAGAGGCTACATTTCTGAATAAAAATTATAAAAATCACTGCAATGGTTTAATATATTAGCCAGTTAATCTTTGGAAATTTTTAAGTGTTATTTTCCTCCAAAATTGGCAAAACAAAATATATATTATTGTAAAGTTCTCTTTAAAATAACTGCTGATTTTGATATAGAGCTATTACGTAGTAATTTTATGTAGAGGAAATAACATTATTAAGGTATCTTCAAGGATCTCACCCCTACCACAGAACACAGTAGTAGTATCAGCAGAAAGCAAGATTCTAATTTCACCAGCTAGAAAACTCAGCAAAACTACTAAGCAAAAGTGCTTCAAGCAGCAGGAGAGAGCAGAACACTAGTTACATGGACAAAGGGAAATGACAGTCATTCATAAAAGATAAAAAGCAGTATAACATATGATGGTCATTGAAATCCCAGAGACATAACAAGACACTGCTTTAGCACCAAGAATAGATTTGATCATTCGATACAGAGGAGAAAAAAATAATAATGGAATCGGGAAGAAGGTAGAACCAAAAAACCATAACTCTTGCCATCATCTTGAGGAAAAGAAAATCACCTTTGGCTGATGTCAGTCAGACAAAGATCTATAGCTCTTGATGAACCATTCCCCAAAACACAGAGGCACAGGAATCTCCTATTTCCAAGTGGGGTAAGGTGTGTGTGTGTGTGTGCATGTGTGTTCATATATGTATATATCCCAAATGTGGGGGAGAAAAAGGTAAGAGAAGCACACAAGACTGGTAATGTTCAAGGTCATTTTCCTCTTGAAAAGATAAAGAAAAAAATGACTAAATAAAATGGTCTGGGAACAGGAGAGAAGTGACAACTTCTTACTTGCCTGGATGATTGCATGTGTTCTCAAGGGTACACTAAGGTTCCTATTGTTCTGCCCCTCTTAACAGTGACCAAAAGAAGACTTTCAAAGAAAGAGAATTTTGCTGGGAATTTTTTTTAATCACTACTAGATATTCTTAACCCATTAATGAGCCAGGGCAGCTCTAAGTGCCATGCTTAACAAGGACAGTAGACTCAGATCTCCAAACTAATTTGTACCTCACTGTCTTTTCAATTTGGAAAGAAGAGAAAGGTGGCAAAAAAAAAAAAAAAAAAAAATTTCTCTGGGTTTTTTTTTTTTTTTTTTTTTAGGGAATTTCCATATATGAAACCTTGTGTTAGAGGTTGGTTTGGTTATGACACCTCCCTTAACTCCAATCTGCCCCCCACCCCAGAGAATTGCTTTTTAAAATATGAATCACGCCATAATCTATGTTTGCTTTGAGGATTCAGCATCCAGCTAATGCATTTATCTTGCCATCCCTGAGGATAAGGGCACAGGACAAGACTTAACCTGAAAAAGACAGAATTCTCGGTGGAAAAAGGTCAGGAGGAAGTGAAATGAAGAGGAAAATAAGGAAAACATTTTTCCCAGTACTTATATTCTTTACCAATATTCACTCTTTCTTGGGCATCCTCTAAACAGGTATGCTTTATTTGCTCACAGATAATACGAATGTGATCTAGTTTCAGATGTAATAATATTATACATAAATTTGGGGAACAATGGGGTGTCCTTGTCAGATTTGTAGCACACATAAATCAGTTTTCTATCTAGGATGTTCTAAGTGATAGAGGAAAGACAAATTCACTGGGGGGTGTGGGGGGCACAAGAACACAAAAGAAAAAAAAAATCCTCCTGTAATGCCTCCCAAATTCCCAGTTATTTTTAGCTTTTTTGTAGGCAGTACCCTTTCCTTTCTGAGTCCTCAGAGGGTGGAGTGGGGACCTGCTTTTCTGTTAAATTCTAGGTACCCTTTGTATCCTTTCTTGATTCTCTTTTGAAAAGTGCCTAGTCTCCTAGCTTATTGGGGGGAGGGTGCAGCGTGTGTGAGAAAAGTGGTGTGTGTGTGGGGGGGGGGGCTTAGTTGTCTTTACAGCAGTATTTCAATTAGAGACCAAAAAAAAAAAAAAAAGAGTACAAATGACCTGATTAAATCCAGGCGCGCAAGAGAAACAAATAGAAATCTAGCAAAAACACGCAAGTTTCAGGCTTTGAATACTGAGAAATGCAGTATTTGAATATCAAGGCATTTTTGCAGTCAGCTTTCATTCTATTTTCTTGAATATTCATTTACAAAGGGCGGGGTGGGGCGGAGGTTGTTTGCCTGCTCGAGAAGTCAGGCAGGACCTCAAAGCCCCGCACGCATCTCTCTCCACCACCTTCCTCTCATATCCAGGCGGCCACCTCAGCCATGATGCGCCTGCTGTCTGCCTGGGGGCCCCGCTGAGCTCTCCTGCCCCGCCCCAAGAAAGTGTCAAAGCGAACCTGGCAGCTGCAGTGGAGGAGCCCAGCCCCCAAGCCCGCTGCATACATGGCCTTGTAGCACCACCAGCCTGCGAGGGCTGCAGCAGCAGCCAAGCCTAGACTCCAGAGGAGTTGGGGACATCAACGAGCAGGGACAGCTTGTAGTCTGCAAATGCCATCATACGGATATCTATAGAAACGCAGCAAGCTCAGGAAATGCAGGCAGCACCCCAACACTTTCTAAAAGGCTTTAGCGAAGAGAAACCCCCGGCAGCCCCAGTCACTCCAAGAGCTGGGCGCCTTGTGTTGGGCCCAGCCAAATCCTCTCCTGGGTGCAGCCAGCAGGCAGCGCCCGAAGGCGGGAGACATACCAGCACTCCTCAGCTGAATTATTCAGACCATCTTCACTATGGAATAAAACATTGATGAGACTACTTTGGAAGTGCTTTATCTTGTAAATACTAATGCCCTGGAGAAAAGAGTGAAATTTTCAGTAGGGGACTTAGAGGTGAAGAAAAAAGGAAATAAGAGGAATAAAGTGCCAGGGAAGGGGCTTTGGAAGTTTGTTCTACCTCCACTGGCCAGAAGAATCTCCATTTTAACAGATCAGACCCAATATGTTAATGAGGCAGTCACAAATCCTACTCTTCCTAATTCAAGGCACTCACTGGCAAGAATTTTCAAATACACATTTTACAGAGACAAACCAATAAATAAATGAATAAATATAAATAAGTAAATACAAACAAACAAACAAAAAACCCAGAGGCACACAAGTCCCTCTCCAGCACATAGAAAATAAAGCTGGAGATGGTGTTCGGGAGGTGGTTATGGTTGTAACCACGCTCCTCTAGCTGTAAAATGACTTCTTGAGTGAATCTATTTTGCTACACAAAAGCAAACGCTGCCAGTTAAACACCATATTTTAACACACACTCATGACAATGAATTTGCTTTCATGCAACGCAAGTTCCAAGAAAACTCCATTTCCCATTAAAGTCTCCAGATGCCTAATTTACAACTACTAAAAGGTCTGGCAAGCTCTTTCACAATAAGGACAGGAAAACAACCTGGTACCAGATGTGGAGAAGGGTCAACACGATCCTTGGCTGAAATGATGGGTGGAAACCAAACACCCTCTTGCACTCACAATGTAGGGAGGGTTGGATACCAAATGGTCCGTGGCAACCATAGCCTGAAGGAAACACCGATTTTAATCTCTGGCATCTTCAAGCAGGTTCAAGAGCCTAGCTTTCAAAAGCATCAGTAGGGTGGAGTGTATTCATATTCCCTTAGCTTTTCCTGCTAGATTAAATACTCAGGTAAGATTTATTTCCCACCTCTTAGAAATTCTATTACAACATCACAGAGCGCCCTTGGATACCCAGACCTTTCCAATGATTTCCCAAACATTAATAAGTAAAGTAGCCTGCAATGCAGATAAGCACTAGAAACAAGATCAGAAGGAAACTGGGTGAGGCGGGTAATCATTCGCTTGTTACCTGGTGCCTCTAGAGGAAAAGACGGTCGTAGGAGGACTTTCTGCCCGCAGGTACAATCCCGGCAAGGTGGCTCCAGGTGGCTTTCACAGTCCTACGTGGGTCTCTCTCGTCACTTCGCTGCCCTTTGCCATAGCTCAGCACCCGCATCCTAGGGAGTCGGAGAGGCGGCTCCTGCCACTGCCGCCGCTGCCCGCAGGTCGCACTGGGTGGGGGATCCACGGCGATCTCCCCATGAAACCCACGTTTCTGTGCCCGGGGAGCGGGCAGAGGCAGGACGGCCGCGCACGCACACACAGACACACACACTCAAATACACACTCACACCCAGGCGCGCGCGCGCTCTCGCATTCACACTTGCACAAGCACACACACCTAGCACAGTACGGGGAGGGAGAAGCAAGAAGGGGACTGGTGCTTCTCACTGTCGGCTTCGATGCCCACCGGACCACAGGCAGCAAAGAGGGCGGTCAGGCATAGCCACTTATCACGTTTCCTTCAAGTTTTCCAACCCAAATCCACGTATTTTAAGAGATGATGGCATTTTAGTGGGTAGGAAAGACCCAGGAAAAGCAGGAAAAGGCTGAGGAAGAGTCGGGATTTTGTTAAGCAGTTTGAAAAGCAATCCTCTTTACCTTGTTTGTAGAGCAAACCAGCTCCAAGAGCTGAACTTTTGGCTTCAAATGATGTGAACAGAAACGTTAATATCCTTCTGGCCAAAAGTGAAAGGTCTAGATGCACGGGAACAAGACGGCTGCGAGACCCTCTGGTGACCTTGTGATGTACCTGGAAGCAGGTTAACACTGGTGCTTTCCAACCCTCTAGGTAAAGTGATCCACACGCGGTCCACAGTCAGGAAGCCTCTTCGAATCCAGCCGGGAAAATGGGTCTGGGCGTCTTCCAAGCTGTTCGGGAACCCAGGCATCCAGGGGCACTACCGAGTTAACACATTTGTTCCTGGGCAGTTGGAGGAAAGACAGTCAAATGCATCAGATCGGAGAGCGCGCGCGCGCGCACACACACACTCACACACACACATACACACACACACAACTAGCTGGAGAGTGGCTTACAAAAGCCAGATGCTGAGATGACTTGAAAAGGTAAAAGAAAATGCAGAATCTTTCCGGAAAATGTAAGGCCCAGCAGAAAGCTTATGAAAATCTTTTCAGACCTTTCATTCTTCCTCTCTCCTGTGAGTGTTTCCAGGTTTGGTTGGTCTGCCCTACACCGGTGCAGTGGTGTCTTTATCTCCAGCTACAACCGAACCGTGCAAACGGGATAACATGTGTGGGTTGTGCTCACAGCCCAGAGCTCCACAAAGTCGAGAATCCTAAGGGAGCAGGCAGCAGCGATGCCATTCACATCCTCGAGGGAAGAAGGGAAAACACGCGCAAATACACGCACACATGCGCGCATGCACACACAGTCCCAGGTTCGGGCCGCCCTGCACACTCTCACTGCCTCCCAGCGCGCGGCTGCACACGGCGCCCCGCCCGTTGCCTGTGGCGCCGGGGCGAGTCCACAGTTCAGGCGTGGAGGTGGCTGCCCAGATCCCGGGCTGCGGCCGCCGCCCCGGGGGGCTGAGTTGTCCCCGGAAACTGGGCTCCGCGGCCTGTCTCCTCCCGGACGCTCCCTCCCGCACTCGGGCCGCGGGGGC